GATCAAATTGAATTTGTTTCTTGCAACACAAAACTTCCAAAGATGAAAATTTGATCAAACTTAATATATGTTTGGGAAAATGCATAAGTACCCCCTAACTTATAGCCGGACTTTTAACTACACACGTTATCTTTGCGGGAGTCTTATTATCCCCTAGACTATTTTTAAATAGTATTAATATCACCCTGAAATACACGTGCCTGATACATGTATTTGCCACTAAAATCTTTTTTTTTTCTTTTTTTTTCCCCTCTACTTCTTTTTCCAACTCACTTTTTGTATTTTTTAAGTTATTCTTCCCTTCTCACACATCCCACCTTCTTTTATCCCCAAATCCACAGGTGAAGCAACAAACGTTTTTGGTTGAAGAAGTAGATTGAAAAATGGTGAGCTCCTAGAAAATTTTCTGGAGGAAAGAAAAGGAAAAGAAAAAGAAAAAAACAAGAGAAAAGAAAAATTAGAAAATAATATATTTTATAAAAATAAATTTTTTGCATTCTCTCTCTTTCTCACTCTCCCAAGGAGAGTGACATACCCTCTCTTCTGCCATATCAGCACCAAGTATCACCCTGAATTAATTTAAGGGGTTAATAGGTTCCCCGCAAAGATAAAGTGTGTAGTTGAAAATCCGGCTATAAGTCAGGGGGGTACTTATGCATTTTCCCTATATGTTTTTTATAAAACAAAACTTCTAAAGATGTAAATTTGTTTTCCAAAACTATTAGCTATAACAAGTTTTATGGCCTGCGTCGACCTATAGATGCATCGGTCTGTAGGTGTAAAATAATGGTAGGGGAAGTTCTAAAAAGTGAACGGGCTAGACCTAAAATCACATGAAAAGGGGTTGTCTCGAAATATCTATAAATCCTTGGAACTAATACCGACTTAGCTAAAGATAGGACTCAATAGAAGAGAAAATCCATTTATTATAAGACTTGGTAGAAAATTTATATTATTATTATTATTATTAATATATATATATATATATATATATATGTATGTATATTTTACCTGTACTTTTTTATTTTGATAATGTTGATGATGAGTTGTGCTAAATGAAAGAAATGGATTCTTATGGACGACCCCAACTTTGAATTGTAGTTGTTGTTGTTATAATTAGAAATGGCACAATAGCCTAGTAGACACTTGTACTAGTATGATTTTGTAATCATGGTCTCTCTACTCTACAAAGTTTCAACCAGACACTTGAACTCATGCAAAATATAGCTTTTAAATACCTTTGACCGAGCACATGTGACAACAAAACATTGAGCAGGACAAAATGTTTGTAATTCGCGGGGCAGTGAGCGTGAATATGAATATTTTGAACAATAAATTATTAAAATAAGATGAAAAAATAAATAAAAAGATAAACTCAAATAAGTTAAAAGAAAAAAAAGAACAATGAACAAAAGCAAAACAGGAGACTTATCGTTCTTCCCAGCACCTCATTCCATCTCATTGCATTTTTTTGTTTGTTTCTTCTCCCCCAATCCCTCCCCACCCCCCATCGCCCAACAAAAAAAACCAAAGCAATCCCTGATTGAAAGTGGATGTTTCTGCCATCAAAAACTTTTTTCTCTATGATTTGATTTAATTTTGAGTTTTTCTTTTCTTCAATTTCTGATGAGATGGCCTGAATTCATGGATTTCCCAGGCTAGTATGAACAATCACTTGTATGTTTATTTTTTGATGTTAATTAAGTGGACTCAAAATAATCAATTGAAATTTATGGATTAAAGACTAAAACAGCTTCAATTTTAGTTCCCTTTCTAAAATTCGATTTTGACAATGGTGTCAGGGAAGATGCAACTGCTGGTAAAAGAATCTCATAATTTCATTTGTTTTTTTTTTATTTTTCTTTGAATTTTCCAATTCTTTATGAGATGTTCTAAATTGTGGTGGTTAAGCATTGTACTTTTCATAGTATTCTGCTAAACCGGCGATAGACAAAGGGACTGCTTGGATTTTGAGAAATGATAGTAAAAGTAAAAAGAAGAGGAGTGTACTAATGGTTTTGGAGAGATTCACTGGTAACAGTGACACATTGAGGATAACGAGGCTGATTGAAAATTGTAACCAAACGTGGGTTTGATTATGTATTTGCAGACGACGGAGGAAGGGGTGATGATATCCGGTGATGGTGGGTAGAAGATTGAGAACTGGAATACTGGAAGACAAAGGACTGTTTGGGATTTTATTTTTTGGGAAAAAGGGGATGGATTTGGAGTTTTTATAAAAAAAAAAAGTATTTTATAATAAATAATAATGTGGCATTAATTTAGCGTGGATATGATTAGGGGTGTCAATTGTTCGATTCTGCCAATTATCTTATAAAATTTGTATCATACCAATTTTTCAGTTATTCTATTATGTATAACCAAAATTAAACTTTTCGAAACCATCTCAATCATGTTTGTTTCTCTTCGATATCAGTACGGTTCGATTAATTTTTGATATTTTTTTAAATATTATGTAAAATTCATTAGTAGAAGTAATATGTAGTAACATACGTTCTTTTATAGGACTTAGCAAAACTCTCTAGACACTTTTACTGTTTAAAGGGTGATGAGTAAAAAAATGAAAGATAGCTAGAGTATAGGTCCGTCAGCTATTCTACAACAACTTAAAAGAAACCAAGCAAAAGCAAAGAAAATATAAATCACACGAGTGGAAAGATATTAACCAAGTTGGGACTCAAGAATAAAGTCTATAGAAGATTAAATATTCAAAAAGATAAATCTAAATTATATGAAAGAAAACATATTCAATACATTGCAGTTTGCTACTCATAATCGCAAGAATACTTTGTGTCTTGCTAATGAAGATACTTGAAATAACTTAGTTTAAGTAGAAGTAGCATAATAGGTTTTAGGAATTGGTATTTTGAGTTTAATTACTTGTTGGCTTGTAACAGTTTTCATAATTCCAAGACCCAAAGAAAAATTTAATGTATTATTATTTTAAAACTTACTATATAAAAATATTTTCCACATGTAAAATTTATTCTGTATTTTTCGGTATTTTTCGGTTTACTTTTATAATATAAAAAAACTACCCTAATTATCGGTGTGGTTATAGATTTAAATAAAAATCTAAGGTTTCTTTAAAAAAAAAGCCTAAAAATCGGTTCGGTACGGTACGATTCGGTCGTTTTAGTCGGTTTTCGAATATCCATTGACACCCCTAGATATGATGTGTCTTTCATGTCAAGCTAGTGAGCAGCGGAGGTGTTTAAAATTTATGTTTTGATAGAATTCAAGTATCAGGTTGAAACTTTGTGGAATAGAAGGACAGGAAGAACAAAACCAAACTAGTACAAGTGTCTTTCAGGCTATTCTGCCATTAGAAATCACAAATCTATATTAGAAGTTGGCTGAATACATAGAAAGCCCCTTAAACTAGTCCATATTTTTTTATCTAGACACTTTAACTAAGGCAATAACCTATTGGATACCTAAACTCTATTTAAAATGTGCCAATTAAACACAAGCTGAACATTCTATGAACAAAAAAGAGCGTGTGCATTACAGGCATTTAACGTGGCAAATGCAACCATTAAAAAAATGACATATCAATACATCCCCACTTTTCTCTCTATCTCCTCATCTGTTCCCTACTCTTTCTAAGATAAAATACATCATTGTTCATCCTCTCTAATTCTTCTGAACTTTTATCCTTTTCGCGTTTTTATCTCAAAAAACCATTAGCCATATGGGAGGAGGGCCATCAGATGTTGGCTAGGACGACAAAGAGCTAAAGAAAAGTAGAAGAAGATTTTGGCCGGAAAAAAACTATCATGCCGGCGAACACTTTTTTTCGACTGCAAAAATTTAAATTATTAAAATATACAGTTCCCAAAGATTTGATTACTTATCCACCATCGATGTCTTTCTTAACAATTGCTTAAAGTATTTTCTAATGAATGGCAAGAACATAATATGCATCTTCTAAGAACTTATTACTCGTTGTTGGGGTCAAGTTATGCGGTGAAATATGCTTATGAACCTGGGGCTGAGTGTTTGGCCGATTCTTGTTGTTTATCATGTTCTTTCTTTTCTTTTTTTAATTTCTCTATTTGCATTGATTGTGGCTTGCAGGAAAACGGATCTTGCGGGATAGATTGGGTTCCGGCCAAAAATCTTTTCTCATTTATCATCTATTTTACCACTTCACTTTCCTTTAGTTTTTCAGATTTTAACAGTCATAAAGATTTGATTTGTTTGGGAACGTTAAATTTTTCATTTATTCATGCACCTAACTTTGGGTGTGAAACACGTGCTATGACATGTAAGCAATGAGTGTCTAATAGGTACACTTCCACCGGAGTTTAGGAATTCAATTGGTCATTGTCTTAGTTGAAGTGCCTAGATGAAAAATATGGACTAGTTTAGGAGCTATTTATGTATTCTGCCTTAGAAGTTTGCAACAAAAAAAAACCTTGTCAGCAAACACGTGGAAAAATAGAAAGAGAAAAGGAGAAACAAAAGACTACATCCTTTTTGCTTGATCATCAGCTCCCACTTCCCTCGGCCATGAAAATACTCATCTCCAAGCATGGAACAAAATGAAATTGCGCAGCAATTACAAGTAAACCGAAAATTGCGTTACCTGTTGCTACTAGCAAAGGAACTCTTGAGTATCTGCATGATCCTACTGCAATAAATAGCTAATCGTAAGCATAAATTAAGGCCCCTAATCTCAACTGCCCAAAATTTAGCCATAGGAAAGAGGAAAATAAAGAATAAGACAAACAAAGAAACTCAATGACATTACCTAGCTCTAGCTTGGCGGCTTCTTCGAGGATGACGATGAGGAACAAGAACATTAGGGTTAAAAGTTGGCACTTTGTGGTATCATTGCAAATTCACAAAATTTTCTGACGGAGAAATCAATTCCATAGTATATGAGTACAACTTAAATGATAGTAAATGTATAATGATGGGCTTTGATTTAGTCCTGGCCCAATATATGAACAATCATTTAATATTAGTGAACTTTAAAATTCATAGCAAGGATTCACAATCAAGGAAATAGAAGAAGAAGGGTCCAANGCACCACATGTTCCGTAATTGTCACAGGTATCTGCTGGTGATGCCAAGTAAACGTGCCATTCCTTTCTCTTGTCATCCCACGTCCAACGCTGAAGCATACCTTTACTGTTCAAGGTTAATTTGGATATAACAGAACTATCCAGGAGCGCGTAGCTGTAAAATGCTTTCCTTTCATCAAAATCCAGAGTAAATGTATAAACTGGATTTTTTGTCAGTCCTGGTACACCACTCCAGCGGAGACCATTCCACGTCCCGCTACTGAACACCTTAACTTTACTTTTCCTAATGACATCCTGAGGATATCCAGTGGGATCACAATGAAATGTATAGTCCCCTGATGCTGGATCGTATTCGTTCTTCCATGAGGAGAGGTAAAATTCTTGTCCATTCACGAAATTCTTACCAAGCTTCATCCCTGGTAAGAGCGTATCTGTAGGATAATCAAAACTCTGCCACAGGAAGTTCTCAGGTTCAGTATCATTTGCATCTCTCACGATAAGATTCCCCGAATTCAACAACTGTGCAATTGGATTCTTCACAGCCAAAGGCCTCGACATATTAGTAGACCACGTGATCCTATTATCAGCAGTGACAAGAGCAAGTTGTCCCGGATCGATGATTTTCAACACCACACCTGATGTGTTGTTGAGTGGAATTGCTCTATTGGCAACCCATACAACAGACTTGTCAGGTACATCATGCTTGTACCATATTCCAACATACCAATTATTCATGAAACTAGCAGGGGAAAAAAATCCCATTTCAAAGCTTCCATCAGATGAAGCAATAGTCTTACCATCTCTTAGAAAGTCGGTTGCAGTAATAGTATCTTTTACACTAGATATTGAACAGAGAAAACCGCATAATAATATCTGCAACAAGAACTGAAACACAAGCAGAAAACTTTCCATTTGCCTTCTGCTGCTTCTATTTGGAGACTATCATCCAATAGTCGAGATCAATTTTGTCAACATAATAACAAGTGACAATATCTGCCAAAATCAAGATCCGTGTAAGACGTTAAAGAACTGCTTTATCACATGCTACCTACCAAGTACTGGTGTCATAAATACACACACACACACACAAAACAACCCTTTGGGAATTTGGAGTTCAATAAACATATATCTACTGCTCAAGGCCTTAATTAAAACACATAAAACAATTTACCTGCTAGCTAACTAGAACGTCTCTGTTGTAGGTGCTACGTAGGGCAAAGTGCTGGAATGTACTACTATTTGATCGTCTTCATGCTATAAATTTGGATATTATTTAGTATAAAATAGGAATATGGTATTACGATTGTCACTGCAGTGGAACGCAGGGAAAAACGACTATTTTTTCCCCTTAATATATGAGAAGTAGATTGAGTGTTATTGATTGACCTTTTCAAATATGGAGCTTTCGATATTCACAACATTTGCATTTATTTTAGGCTCTTACTGTTGCTGACATCATTTTCAAAAGGAGGTTTAGAGCCCGTTTGGACGTAAGAATTTCTTTCTTTTTTAGAAAAATTCATTTTTTCGAAATGGACATAAAATTTCAAATTTTCACTTAGAAAATAAATTTTAGAATTATTCGAAATTTTGAAACACTCCAAAGAGCTGTTTTTCAAAATTTTCACTCAGATCACTTACTAAAATTCAAAAATAATCCAAAATTATATTCATGTCCAAACATAACTCTAATTTTCAAATACCATTTTCGCTTGAAAACAAATTTCACTTTTCTTTAAAATTTTACGATGCTTATGTCCAAACATCTTTTTCCTTTGTTTGCTTTTTATTCTAAAAACGCCTGCTATAAAGTCAAGGCAGTATACGAAGAAATTGTGGACAAAGGTCTTAGTGGACAGCCTTTGCTAAAGTAACAATAATATAACAATAATAAATCCAGGAGTTAATCACTGGTTACTCAATTATTTCAAATTATCTATTAAAGTCATTTTTTTATAACAATAAAATCACTTAACTATACCTATATCACTGTTACAACCCACGTTTTTGTACCTGAAAGTACGTCGTGAGTCAATTGATGTAAGCTCAAAAAGGATGAAATCCTTCTACAAGGACAAGAAAGGTTTGCCGGTGTTAAGCAAGTTAAGATGAATATGAGACTTGTTAATCATGATTTAAATGAGTTTAAAGTCATGATATGACTATATATGATGTTTGTATATGAAGTATAAAGTTTGAAAAAAATCAGATGTAAGTTGCGGAAAAAAACCGACTAAGGATTTGCGTTGTAATGAAGCTTTTTGAATAATAAATTTTGTGTGCTATATGAGGTCTTTTGGGACATATTATATACCAAATTGAAGGTCTTGGAATGTAGTTTCCAATGCTCTTAACCGTTTGCTCATACAACACCCGGATAAAAAGTTATAAGCGTTGGAAGACGAGCCAATTATAAGGTGCCAAGTAGCACCTTTTGACTTTTCAACAAAATGGAGATTATCTCCTTTATCTCGTCTCTTTCTGTATATTTCCAATATTTCCAGAGAGCACAATCAAATAAGATCCCTAACATCACCCTTAAGCTCTCTCCAAGGGTTTCCAACAATACTATCATCCCGGGCACGAAATCAAGAAGCAATAACACTAGAACGATCCCCACAACGTAAATATTGCTATATTGCCTCTCTTTTTATTTGTAGTTTGAGTTTTGTAAAGATATTTAATAGTTGAGAAAATTCTTAATTTCTGGTTTTAAGCTCTTAAATATCAAAGAAGTTTGATTAATTGATTTCATAATAGTTAGAACTCACCGGATGGTGATCGGAAGCCGTGAATTTGAGTTATTTGATTTGTAATGGACTGTTTTTGGGCTGTTTCGTGTAGCTTTTGGGCTGTCTATTTTGTTGTTGTTAAATAGAGTTTTGGAGGATAAATGGTGTGGAGAAACACCACATAATGAAAAAATCATGGATTAGTCATTATGTTTGACACTACTATAGTCGTCGTTTTGGATATGAATTGATTGAGGTGTATTGGGCTGTTGTAAGCTAAATATAATATGGATTTCGACTTGCATTTATTGTATGAGGTAATTATATTGTGTTCCTATAGGTTCTTAAGGTTATCTTGGCATTGGTTAAGTTAAATGGATGAGCTAGTGAATAAAGTTGATAATTAAGAATAATTGGAGTTGTGGATCATTTTCTTTGTTATGGATATATGGTATAAGGCTGGAATTATTGATGAATGACTTCATTATCATGTTAATGATAATATTAAGTTAAAGTAAAAAGTCTATAATGGATGATATGGGGTATGCGAATTCCAATTGGAGCTTGTCACTCGTCGTAAAATAGTTATGATTTGTTGTTGTTTTATGGTGTCTTGTTATTGATAATTATGTATTGCTGGATTTCTCTGGTAATTGTTGTTGGTATATGATATTGGATGAGGCTCTTGTTACTAGGGAGATGCTGCCCGAATTTATATAAACGAGCTACAAGTTTAAGTTGCAGACTTAGCCTTTATTCAACACTGATTTTGAATCTCCTTATGCAATGGTAGATTGAGTTGAGTTGTTTGAAGAGTAACTTGGGAGGTATTAAGGACTCACCATGGTTAAGGTATGTTAAGGAAATCCCTTCTTTCTTTTAGCATGATCTAAAGTGAAATGAATACGCTATTTCATAACGGATCTACTCCTAGCAACTAAGGTTGTCCATGTTGTTCTTTCCTTATAAAATTATTCTAAGCAAGTGTGTATGATCCTTGAATCCTGCTGAGGTTCATATTGAGGGTATGAATGTCCATAATGTTAATTGAAGGTGCAACGACCTTAAGTCACTCCAAAAGGTTTAGAACGTGATTCCATGAGTCTAGCATGCATTATATATGGTATCTATTTTACTCTACCGAGCCGCGCTATAGTAGACCGGGTACGACACTTATTGTGCAACCACTGATCAGTTGGATTTATCGAGCTCCACGTGGCCGGGTACGATTCTACCGAGCCTTATGATGGTCGGGTACGTTTTTACCAAGTCCTCTTTGAGGTCGGGTACGATATGATGATGATGATTACAGAGGCATATGTTTTTAAAAGTTTATGTATATATATGTATTATGCATTTCATGCCAGTAGACCCCAGAGGCCTGCAGATGTTATAGGTTGTATCTCCTCTATCTCTCTTTATATTATTGTTCTTGTTTATGTTTTTCTGCCTTATATACTCGGTACTTTATTTGTACTGACGTCCCTTTTGCCTGGGGACGCTGCGTTTCATGCCCGCAGGTCCCAATTGATAGGTTGACATTCCTTCTAGTAGGCTATCATCTCAGCGGAGGTGTTGGTGCACTCCACTTGTTCCGAAGTACCTATTTAGTCAGTATGCTTTGGATATGTATTGATTGGTATGGTGGGGCCCTGTCCCGACCTTTATGATTTTATGTACTCTTAGAGGCTTGTATACAGATGTCAGGTTTATGGATACTTGTATGACCTTGTTGGCCTATGTGTTGAGTTTACAAATGGTCATGTCGGCCTTATAGGCTCGTATGTCACATGTATAAGTTTGTATATCATGTTGGGTCGTCATATGTTGAGTACTCCCTTATGTTTTATTCTTGTTATCTCATGACGGGTTTCTGGCTCATTTACTCAAGATAGTATAATAAGAAAGATATGTTATGTTGTTACTCGGTTGAGTAAGGCACCGAGTGCCCGTCGCGGACCTTTAGTTTGGGTCGTGACAAGCACTTAGAAGTCACTCAACTAAATTTTCCAAACTTTGGATTGTCAAAATACCTATTTTACCCTCTAAATTATAAATATTTTTGTTTTCTTTTTTTATTTTTAAATATTATCATTTTTTTCTCCTTTTAATCTACATTGTGGACTTACCTATACAATAAATATATTTTATTTATAAAATAAAAATTAAAACTTAGTTTTCAGCTTATATAATGTCGTAATAATAATATAATTGAGCGTATTTTTTAAGAATTTATAATGTATATTATAAAAAAATCTTTATTTAAATAATTATTTTTATATTACGTGTATGGAATATATATTTTTCTATCTTTATTTCTTTTATTCTCAATTGTGTAAATAAATTTTTGAATTTTTTTGTTAATATTAAAGTTTTTATTATGAACAAATTATTCTAATTAATTTTTTTACTATGATCAATATTATATTATTCTAGCATTATATATGCTTAAATATTTTTTATTTTTTAATTTGTAAAAAAAATATTTATTCTATAGATAAGTCCATTATATAAAATCATAATATTAAAAAGTTAGAATAAAAAGAGAGAAATGTTTATAATTTAGAGGGTAAAATAGGTATATGGCAATCTAAAGTTTGGAAAATCTAGTTGAATGACCTTCTGAGTACAAGGCATAGTTAAGTGATGACTTTGTTGTTACAAACAAAAAAAAAGTAACTTTAATAGATAATTTGAGATAATTGAGTGACCATTTACGTAATGAACTCAGAAATTACTTTACGTCTAATTCACGTATTCTTGAAAGTAAACTTTGTCAAAATCTTCGGCTTGGACCCTAACTGAATGTTTACACAAAAGTTTAACTTCCCTCTGTCAAAAATATGACATTGTTAATTGGAAATTTTACATTCGTATGTCATACAGGAAACTATATTACCCTCAATGTTTAAGGTTTGATATAATCTATATATATATATTAAAGCAAGAAAGTTCCCATAGATAATTGACATTATGGTTAAGCCAAGTGGCAAGCTAATAAATATCAATAGTATATAGTAATTTTATTCTATATTTGACTATTTTAGTTAAATACTATATATATATATATATATACGAAATTTGAATTAAAAGATAATTTTGAATTTATAGATAAAGTTCTAAAAATTGAATTTGAATTAAAAATAAAATTTATCTTTTTTTATCATGTTATCATACTTAATGATCATATGCAACCATGTTAGGAACTTTTTTTTATTTATAATTATTTAAATACTACTTCGCCTCTAGCAATAAAAAACTACTCCATATAACTATAAAACTCTTTCACATTTAAAATCCTATAAGTATAGTTCTTTGAAAAACTGTAGCTAGATTTGAATAAAACGAAATTCTTTTAAATAAATATAATATATAGGGTACACGTCTATATTTATCTAAATAATAAAAAATAGTTTACAAAACCAAATAAAAGTTTACTTACATATATAATCAAGTAAACATACATACTGGAGAAAGAAACATCACAAAATTAGTCAATATTAAAATAAAAGTTGTTTCTTTTTTCTTCTTGAAGAATATTTGTTTGAAGAGTCAATTTGTATAAATGGACATCAAACAAATAACAAAGCTTTGGTTATAGAATTGCTATCATTAATT